TGAATCTAGTGCCATGAATGTTGCCGTCTAACAGCACAGCTACCTACCCCAGCGATCCCAGTTCTAATACATGAGAGATTTTCATTAGATTTTTGGAAATTTAATGAGGAACTAGGCTAGCTCTATGAAATATATACTTGCTTTTAAATCGGTGATACAAAATGGTATCTAACATATGACCTGGATATGCGGGACCAATTTGAAAGAGGTTAAAGTGGACTCGAGTTTTCTTCCCTCGGTCAGTAAAATCATCCACACTCACTAAACGCTTCTTCACGCGTTCAGAGAATCACAAAAAGCATAAATTATTGTCAGTAAAATAAATTAACCGAATGACACCCGCAATGATAAATAAGTAGCTAGAAAGAGCCGACCTGACTATCCGATGAAATCAATAGTTTTTAAAGATAAGAGAATTCAAGTTACCTTCTTCTCTCTTCTCACATTCTAAACCCATCAACAGGCGGGTCTAGGTTGCGAGAAGAGGCAAATAGCAGGCCAATGTTCGAGTCTAACACGAGTTGTGTCTTGTAATTGCATCTATCATTTGAAGTACGCTAGGATTCGTCTCAGCCCATAGCACGATCTACTTGACCTGAATATCTCATTGACACATGATAGGGATGTTATTCGCAATCACCATAATAATAAATTTTATTTTTTCATTAAGGATATCGAAAACCTTAACTCCAATGCAAACCTGCCTTATGTAATCGACAATGTAAGTGCATGTGACTTCAACTGGGATAACGATGCAGGTGATTTTGGTTAGTGCAATAAAATTACTGTTTTCAATCACAAATTACGCAAACGAAGAAAAAGGATTTATTTTTTCCTCTAGAAAGCAGTAAAATTAATCGATTTGGTCAAAAGTTTTGGTAGACACTGTGGCGAAATCAGAAGGAAAATGAGTTCCTTGACGTGTCCTCATTTTGACTCATCTTGAATGCAAAACAATTCTATTTCACCCTAATTCGCTAGGAAAACAAAGAACCAACCGCTAACTGTAACGCTGGCGTCTATTTTGCCGATAACAGCAAATAGGAGCGTGGTTTGTAGGTTTGACCTTGACTATCCTGCTTAAATTCAGGATCAACAAGCTCCAAATCCGTATTCCACCTCATTTAAAGCCTCGTAAGATTCCATCTTTTGTTTGCGGGGTAACATAGGGTAAAGTGAAGACACTTCAACACTTAGCTGGTGCGTATGTGTGTGTGCGTGGTAGGGAAGTTGTTAAGACCAACTGCACAATTTGGCGTGGGTGTAGGGAGAGCAAAACAGATATATCCATCACTCAGCTCCTCTGAAACTTACATTTTCAAGCATTAAGTTGCCATTCAGCCATTGTCTTTCTAATTTGAATGGCTTAAGTTTGAGTCAAATCGGACTAACTTCCAGGGAATGAGCATTTCGGCTGAAATTTGGCCCATTTCTGCTGCCAACTGAGCTTTAATCTTCTTCAGGATACAGGACTTCAACAAATTTACTTTCTAATTTCAGTTCCTGTAGTAGTTAGTTCAGGAGCCATAAGTTGGCTTAAGTAGAATACAACAATGAATCAACTAGAATTTGACGGAGCGTGCATTTTCGAAATTACATACATGGTTTAAATTTTGGAGCTGAAGCCAATAAACCAGATTAAATTTTAATTAAAATGAGAGGTGCAACTACTTATAGACCTGATATAAATTCTTTTAAGCCACTTAGAGACGATTTTTCGCTAATTGCCACCGTGGTCAATTTATCGAACCGTAATTTGCATTTTTATCACAATGCAATAAGTGGGCTGTTTAGAGACCATCGCGAGTTATGATTTCATCAGTGTTTACACAGTTTTCCTAACTTATCCACTTGAGCCACCCTCGAGTCACTCATGGCATCCCACTGACAGCAAGCATCCATTATTACCTTGTGTAGATTTACTTGGACCGCCTAAATTCACAGTTTCTTGACCAATGAGATCATCAGACAAACGAGTACTCTGAACATTATGCACCATTCTATTACACCGCGCTGTGTAAACAGAAGCAGTTTGATCGTTTCGTGGAAGACTGCAGGGGAAAAAGGCATGTGCTCGTTTAAGTCTCTCTTCTTACGACCAGACCATGATAACTCTGCGTGGTACAAAATGCGCTCAAGCCTCAGCAAACAATGACGATCCAGGTCCTATGTACATTTCATTTAAAAAAGCGCGATTCACCGTTTCGCTGTGTCCACACCAGAAACAATTCAGTCACTCGAATTTCTACGACCGACAAACTGACGCCAGGCCTTGCGACTCCTTTTCTCCCGCATCCTCTTGACGCCGCTCAGAGCGATCTGGTAGTCCCACCAGGCGTCGGAACTGATGCGCCACAGGATGTCTGGCAGGAGGGCGAGCACAGTGACCAGCGGCAGGCACAGCCAAAACACCGGACACGATCCCAGGTAGACGTAATTCATGTAGATACGGCTACTAGGGGTGGCGATGGACTGAATAGTGAAAATCAAACAATGATTGAATTCCGTGGAGCCTTGAAACTAAGCATTCAAAGCATTTATCCTTCTTACGGTATCCGTGGAATTTCGGTACCTAGGTATATTCGGAGTTGTATTAGCGGGCACATTGGTCGATAGGGTAGCCAATTATATAACACATTGTCATGCTAAGAAGGCGTTGGTGAATTATAATCAGGATAATGAATGTGCATTTGAATCACCCCTAACTCTGAAGTGTGTTATTTCTCGAGACAAAAACGCTGCTGGTCTTCACTCCGAAAACTGTGATGAAAGGTAACCGATGTCCTGAATAGATTTAATTGGTTTTGAAACCGGTTTTCTGTCTTGATACAGATTAACACCGAGGAACGTAGACTTCTTACTCATTGGGAAGTAAAGAATAACGCAAAAAGAGTGGTCCCCAGTACACCTCCAAGGTCAATGATACCTCAGAATAATAAAATGTCGCTCATTTTACTTGGCAAAACATCACGGACTAAGCGAAACTTGCGTACTACCTTGAGAGGTGTGGGTGTAGGCTTGTTAAAACATCCAAAAACAAGCAATTAAATAATCAATAATAAGCATGGTAAGAAATTGGAATTTTCAGCAATTAAACTAAGCATGGTTATGAAAGCTTTACAGATTGTCTGCCGATAAGCTGAAGAGCATATTTGTGGGTGACTGAAATCGACAGCCCTACTCACCTGGTAAAAGAACATAATAGCGAGGTTCACGACACCCGTGAGAAACAGACCAACAACGAGAATGAGGTTGAGATGACGAGACAAAACAATATTGTGCATAATGCATGTCACCACAAGGTAGATGAAAATTGCATTGCCAAAGAGTTCGAAGTCAACCGCAGAATAAGAGACTCCGGATTGGAAGAAGGTTGCGTCCGAATACAGCATACCCCCGCACAAGACGTAGTAGCAGACGAAATAGACAACGGATCCATGCCAACAACCGTCTATAACCCAAAGGAGGATGTACCAGCACCGAAGGTTTGACGACTGGCTCATCTAAATACACACAGGGTTACATTTACCAAAGAAAATTGAACGCAACAGCACTTCTACGGGGTTTGGCTTCGCCACACAACCACTGCAACATTCTGTCACTCTGGAATCCACAATTATACAGGTATCATTGAATTAGCGAAAACGGGATGAGGTTTTACCAGGCGGTAGAGGTATGGCCGACGCAGGAGATCATTTGCAGACAGGTGTTGTTCCGTCATTCCGAAAATGAGGGGCGGAAGGAAAGTGAAAGTCAAATTGTAGAGAGTGTAGAGGAGGCTATCGAAGAGGGATTGTCCAGAGAAGCCGTCATAGAACATTTGATACACCTGGACCACAACGAAGGCCACGTTCTTGAAGTAGAAGATATTCGCTGTCATGCTGATGCGGTAGTAGTTCCAATGACCATGAACCAGGATAAGTCGCCTGAGGTGTCTATAAGATTTACGAAAGACACAACATGTGAGATTATTCCAGATACGTGAGCAATCACTAGACAGCAATAAATAGCTTGAGTGACTGTGATGGGACAGTTCGCCTAAGCCCATTAACAGGTATTAAAAAAATTACGAAATTCCTCTTTGCCAA